GTTGTGTCATAAACTACGTATAAGTGTACAAAACTAAAGCTTTTTATCAGAAACTGGCATTACATTACTATGTAGTAGGCGGTGCTTAATTTGAGCCGCACCTTTTATTCCAGCCACACCTTCAATTGCTGCAGCAAGCAATGCAAAGCTGAGCAAGAGCAGTAACAGCAAGACAGCAGCATTCTCTTTATAACTTTTGAAGAACAACATTAATGTTTCATTTGTGTTATGTTACACTGTTGATTGTGGCGAGGGCATGTGCTATAGTGCACTCGTTACCCGAGACCGCGTAGGCGTTGGTCGAGGGCAAAGCAGTCGTCCTGTCTGTGTGTTCGCTTTGACCTCCACTTTTGAGCTGACACTGCTTTCTTGTCTTGTCCTGGAGAGTCTTATAATCAACACTGGCTCTAGAAAAAGTTATTCTCCGTCTTGGGAATCCTTGATTTGTCTTTTCAGTGGTAAAAGAAGCTGGCAAAGTCGCCAAACGTAGTCGGCTCTCCTGCAGCTCTTTCGTAGTGAAAGCAAAAGAGCAACAGGGCAGATAAAACAATAAAGCAAAGCCTCATCTTTCATTAATATGAGAGGAATTGCTCCAATCTTCTTCGTTTTAAAGATATGATAGCCCAAACTTTCATACCTTGTGAGTTTAGACGAGGCTCTCTTCTCCCGAGGTAGCGGCCAGAGTCTTTTAACATTAGGGACTAGATAGCAGTTTGTATGCAACACCACACCTTTACATTGCTGCAGCTAGCAGCAGTGCAGCAAATATGCTGGAGCTCTTTGTCTAAAAAAACAAAAAAATTCTCTGTCTGTCTAAAACATTCACCAAGTTTTAATAAATCTAGTACATGCTGAAGCTTCTTCTCTGTCTCAAAACTTTCACCAATTATTTTCTCTTAATTTATTGAAACTGTTACATACAGATTGTGTCAAGGGTACACACTTTAGTGCTCTCATTCTGTCATTCTGTCCACACAGTTTAATTGATTTGTAAAAAAAATTATCTTTTTGTTTGAGCAGTCTAGAGCTCTATTTCTTCTTCTAGCAGCAGATAAAGTTGCTTTCTTTCATCTAGTAATGCTCTTGTAGCATCCCGTGGCACCAAAAGCTGTGAACTGCTAAACCAGGGGACCTCTCTCCAAGTGAGAGCTTGTGTTTCACTCTACAGGGCCGAGATTTGCTTCAGAGGTAGAAAATCCCATCTAATGAAAAGCAAAAAGAACGATTTTGTCCTAACTTCGTTGTTTGTAAGTTACAGTTGCTCAAAGTTTGTGATTTAGCCTCTTTGAGAATTTTTCAGGCGGCACTGGGGAAAGCAGGAGCAACTAAGCTCTCTCAGTCTCTTTTAAATATCTAGAAAAATTTTCTGTGCCAACTCTTTCTTGGAATAGAGCTTCAGATGCTAAAATAAATTTCAGCTTTTCTTCTTTCTCCTACCCATGTGCTATGATTTAGTTAGTTGTTGACCACACCCATAGCTTATTTTAATTATCATTATAACTATGCAGTCCATAATATTAATTTTTTTCAAATTGCTTAAAATATCACAGTACAAGTAATGCATATCACTCAAGTGAATTCCAGCAGGCGAGTCCATTGCACCATAGTGCTTCATTTTTATTTTGTTTGGATTGATATCAGTGTAAACCCAACCAAAATATTTTCGTTTTTGTTAAAAATGTAGTTGTGTAAATGTGGCCTAAATTAAAAATACATTTAAGGAAATGTAGGAAACTCTATGTCCATTGATAATGAACTAAAGGCTCCATTGTAAGTTTATTTAAGAATTACTGATCCTTTTATATAATATTAATGTAATACTGAGTTGATATCATGTTATTTTCAGTCTAGGCTGCTGAAGTTAAGTCCCTGTAATTAATGGTTAAATAGTAAACACCATAAGCTATAACATTTACTATATGCTTTCCTCTTGTATATAATGGCTAAAAAACTGATACTGTGAGACATATCGTTAGTAGCATAATGACTGTACTCAATGATAGCATAATTACTATTATAATAACATTCAATTGTTGATACCAGACATGGGGTCAAGCACTATGAAATGTGCTTAAACACAAACACAAGCACTTAAATGTGTTAGAAGTACCAGCACAAGCACAATCTATAGCTTTAACATAAGTGCTTGAGTACAAGAACAAGCATTTTTCAGAGTGCTTAATTACATTAATAAGTACTAGATATTCAATAAGTGTAAGAATAAAGTAAAGTTACAATTATAGTTAATTTACTGTTGCATCTAATAAACACTAACTCTGTGAATTGTTCATAATAAATGGAAACAGCAGAGAGCTTTGGAGTGATACCACTAATGGTGATGCCATTACCATTCTTCAAGCTAACACACTATCACACAATGTGCTACGAAATTTGTATACTACTGTACCACTACATGTGTACATGTACATGTTGTGGTACATGTAGTGGTACATGTACATGATATCGACATTTAGATGTACATGTACATGTACATGTACATCTACATCTACATCTACATGTACACTATTTGTGTGTAATTTTTGCTGTGCTTAAAAGCACTTTTGTCAATTTGTAAAAGTAATTAAGTACAAGTACAAAGCACATAGATTGTATTGAAAAGGTACTTGTAAGCAGCATTAAGTACTTAGAAAGCTGTGCTTATTTGTACTTAAGTACAAGCACCAAGTGCTTGACCCCATGCCTGGTTGATACATAAACTGATCAATGCAACTAACCTATACTTGTCGAATCAGTTGTGATAGTGGGGAATGATTGGGTAGTAGTAGTAGTAGTAATAGTTGTAGTGAGATTAGAAGTCATAGTATAGCCTAGGATAATGAGAATATGTACCTGTTAATGTAATACAGTGTACTTGTAATGTAAACACATACTAAATACTAGTATAAATGGTTCACTACTACCAGCCTCAATACTAAATACAATACTGATATTACACTGTTGATACTGAGGTACTGATATTATTCCTGTTATGTTATTTGGTTGTTTACTATACTCTATTAAGTAAGAGCTGCTATACACAGGACCAGTATCACTGCAGTGTGCAGTATCTGCAGGACT